TTGACTGTAATACTTACCCTATGGGGCCCAATTTTTCAAAAGACTGGATGGGGCTGTTTTAACAATCAAGGACGAAGGCTTCATTGTCAACAATCATAAACTCACAAAATATGGTGAAGAAAGAAGCTAAATTAGACCAAAAAAACCCTCGAAAGAAAACAAGTATCAGTCTACCTGCACATTTTTGACAAAGCAGATTTCAAAATCTGATGTCTATTTCAGACTAGTTGTCAAAAATGACCTTTTTCAACAATTAAATCAACACAAAAAGGTATTTTAGAACAGGGAAAGAGCTGGACAGACAGACAGGAACAACAGAAGAAAAGAAAAGAAGTATGACCTGCCAGTGGCCACCTCCAACCTCCCGTATAACCAGCACAGTTCGCCAGGAACGCACCAGGACGATAAGAGTGTGGAAAACAGCTTGAAGGAGCAGGCCCAAAAGAATCTTTTAGTTTTAGGTATTTTTACGGCAGTTGCAACACAAATAGGTCACGTAAGTGCCAAAGATGTGTTACTAGAGAGCTACATAAAAAAAAAAAAAAAAGGAAGAGGAGAATAAAAGTTTGGTAAAAAGAAGGAACAACTCACACTAGAGCACCCACCAACCACCAACATTTATTAGTGTCATAACAGAGTTTGAACAAATGTCTGGCGTGTGGCTAAAAATCTGGGTTGTCTTTTGTTGCAAAGAAAAGAAGGAGGAGAGATCAGACAAAAGATGTTTGATTGCAAAGAAAGAGCAAACCACACCACAGCCCCACCCAACCACTCAGACACACAGAAGCACCCACCAGCCACCTGACCTCTCTCACACACATACACACCACACCCAGTCGTTAGATTGTCGACAGGCATCACAATATCATCACGGCAAAATGTGAGGAACTCCCACCCCCCAAAAAGGAACCAACAGCTAGTACTCAAATCATCACCAACAAAAACACAACAAAACATCAAGAGTCAAACGTGTCATCTACAATTCAAATTTGTTGCTAAATAAATATCGCAGACACAGGAAGCATCGTAGAGCATACAAAACTGGAAGCTGAGTGCGTGGAAAATCTGTACAACATGAACTAAACAAAAACAATAACATTTATAGCAGCTTTACAAACAAAATTGTTCTTTGTTTAAGTAGCAAGACGCACATCACAAAGAGTCAAATTGTCTCGTCGTCTTTGCACAAACAGAAAATTCCTCGGACCAACTGCTTTCTTCCCAAGGAGCACCAATTACGATGTTCTTGACTTTTCTTATAGTTTAGTTTCAGAAAGAGTTTTACGGCACTTGCAATACAACTACGTCATACACATGACACATGCCACAGATTCAAGGTGTTGCTAAAGAGTAACATACAAAGAATAGTGCGATGAGAGACAAGGAAAATGGACATTTGACAGGAAAGAAGGAGCAAACCACGCCAGAGCACCTGCCAACCACCAACAGACCTTTCCAATACAATGACTCAGCACCAACAAACTTTTAAAAAATAAAGGGACACAACTGTGACAAGAGCTGTGAGAAAGAAGGCACGGGCAAGCAGGTCCAAGTTGCAGGCCGGATAAAGCCATTCCAAACACCTCCCGGCCAAAGCAGGGGAAAGTTGGGGTGAGATAGGTTGAAACACCCTAGCTCTCAAAGAGTGAGACTAAACCTGACACTACAGCGTATATGTAACGAAAAGGCATTTCATGGGATAAATATTAGATCTGTTGCTTCCAGAAGGGCTGGAAACTATTGATTTTAATTTTTAAGACAGACAGTTTTGTTTTTATCAATTATCAACTCCCCACAGGCCACATTCATTGTTAATTTATGAACACTGGAATGCTGCAGTGTGCGCAGGAAGTTGGACAAATTAATGAGCGATCATTGTTGGGGAAGAATGTTAAAGTTTAATTGTTTGATTATAATAAAGCAGGCATTCTGACCTGCGTGAGCGAAACTTTGATCACTCGAACTGAACCCCCCCCCCCCCCCCCCCCTGAAAAAATATCTCAGAGAACACTACAGCATGTATGCGTTCCAACACCAGCCAAAAATATCCAAATAACATCCTCAGATATCATTACAACCTGCTTGTTTGTTTGTTCGAGTAAAGAGAAGCACATCCACAGAATAAAGGTCATTTAGGGCAGGAAAAAGTAGGACAGACAGACAGAAACAACAGAGGGAAAGTAAAGAAGTAGGACCAGCCAGTGGCATCCTCCAACCACCCACATCATAACACCCAAGACATTCTAAGCTACCTAAATTTATCTTCAAGTAGACTTGCTATCGTGTGACATAAGGAGGATGTTGACCAGTAACTAGTCATAGAAGTTTACTATGTTCCAATTATTGTAAAAGTAAAGTTGTTCCCGAATCCGATCCGGACATTGGGGATTGCCTTGTTAGTGAGACAACTTCCTGGGCCTTCGGCATATTGTGGTAGGGTGGCCAGTTTCTTTCCACGCTGCCTTTACTTCCCCAACTCGAAGTCAGGTACCCACTATTGCTGGGTGGGCAGGAGGGGGCGAAAAAACCCCGTGTGTGAACCGAGCCTCAAACCCGGACTTTCCGGTTCGGAGACGAGCGTACAAACCGCTCCGCCACCGCACCCTCCCAATTATTGTACAGGTGAATAATTCAAACAGCAATACTCTATTTTTCCTACTTTTCAAGGATTCAAGGATATTTGCAAATGAAGAGTACGGGGGGGGGGGGAGGAGAGAAGAAATGGCATTAATAACATTTTGAAAAATGTTTGCCTTTGTTTTGATCTTTTGTTAATCTTATTCCATTTTGTCAATCAGTGCAATTTTTATCAAACTTGGCTGTAGTCATGAAAAGATGACATGTATTTAGAACAGTTGTACATGTAAAACATGACAGCAGTCCCTACAAGCACATGACAGACAGGCATCCATATTGTTCCTGTGACTAATAATGTCTTTCCCCTCTAGTCTTTCAAACGTGTTGCACATAAAGCTTTCGTAAACATAAAAAGGGCAACAGATCATTCTAATACTCATAACGGAACAGTTTTCCAGAAGGGAATGTCATTATGTCTGAGGGAGACACACGAACATTTAACAGCGGGAAAAAAACCAAACCAAACACACTCCATGAGGTGCACAACCTCATCATACAATCAAACTGTGAACACAAATAATGCATCAAATGGCAAGAACTATTTGAACTATTCCTCGGTCTGCCGTCTCCACAAATCTCTCATGGGACATTGACCAACCCACACCAAGCTCATTTGATATTTAAAGGTTTCAATTACAAACTACAATGCATTTTAAGCTATCTGAAACTGTGCGCACGAATACACTCACTACCTACCCATCTATGATGGACCATCTCTAAAAGGTGATTCAGTTTAAAACAAAACAAATTTAACCCTTCACATCAGGTAGTTTCTATTTTATTTCTAGCTAATCTACAATCTTCACAACTGTACAAAAATATTGTTTATTTATTCCTTGTCTTTCAACTGTTAGACTTACAAGAATAAGTGTTAAAAAAAAATTCCACCGCTGAAATAATTACTAAAGTTCTGAAAATTAAGAGGAAATTAAAATAAAAATGATCAAGATGGTGTTCAAAGTTTGAGTCGGTAGGTCATCAATTTCACAAAGAAAGAAACAGGCTGAAATACAAATCTCAACTGTAATTTGATCCATGGCCATGAACATATCTATGGCAGCATTTAGCAAAAAGGTAGCGATGGCTGCAGTTTTCATAATTGATAATTCATTTATACGACAGATGGTCATTTTAAGTGACAAGACTTAAGCCAGACAGTCAAATTGAGTTTTAAGATTGAAACCATTTCAGACGACGCTCAATTATTTCTGAATTAATCAGAATTGGCACCGATTTGTAATTTTATACCACTCAGGTCCATCAACTTATTGCAGATTCATTCCTCCAATTGAAACAAGTGCCATACGAAATTCAATTCTGGCTTCAGAAAAACAAGAAGTATTAGGAAGAGTTTTCTAGCAACATAAGCTTCATTTCAAGCAGTCACAAAATGCGTATATTGTGACCTTTAGTGCACATTGCTTTGTACACAAGCTTTTGGCAAGACCTTATATAAGCCAACAACACGAGAGTAGCAAACCAATATATAGGTGACGTGAAGTTTCCAGAAATGCACTTTTGGCAGTTTTACCAAGCGGCAGCAGTGCACGAAAAACATAACATCGACGAGCTATTCAGATGTGCTAAGCCCAAAATTTTGAAAATTTTTTAATATTGTAGTTTTCTCAATCTGTGATATTGGTTGCTTGTGCTCAATAAACATTTTGTTGAAATTCACAAATTACAATGTTGAGAAAAACCCCCAATTTTTCTATCTCCTAAAAACATTTCGCTTTCTGGGCTTAGAACAGTTGAAAAGCTTGCCAACGATAATCAACTCTCCATGATACTAACATGTCAGGGAATTTACCACAAATTATTCACATTTATCTTTTAGGGAACACAAAGTCAAGCATGTGAACTGACGTAAAAAATAGTTGTTTTTTTTTAAAAGCATCAAACTTTTCGACATTCAGCCCAGTTGTGAAACACACAAGGATAAAGGAACGAGCACGCAATGTGAGTTATCTAAACCGATATTAAGAGAGTAGTGCGGTGTGATGTCATTTAAAGTGAGAAATATAAAACTTTGAGCACCCCCCCCCCCCGTCCTAAGCTTACAGGACCAGCACACCTGAGTCCCTGTGGTTCGACTGCTAGATTAATTAACACCACAGAGAGCCGAAGTGTGTGTTAGAAGCACAGGTGGGAAAAGGCAGCACATGCTCAGAAGTCTTTGGTTTTCGTAAGAGTTTTACAGCACTTGCAACACAAATAGGTCATACAAGTTGTCGCCTCAGAACTATTTTGTCCAAAGTGTACTTCAATAAAGAAGGCACCTTGGACAAAATAGTTCTGAAGCGACGAAGAGCTGAAGATTAGATGTGTTACTAGAGAGTGACATAGAAGGAAAAGGGGGAGAGGTAAGGACGATTAATATTTGATAGGAAAGAGAGAGCAAACCACACCCGAGTGACTACCAACCACCCATATCCTTAGGGTCTAAAGGAATGAGCTGAGTAGTTCTGTATATGATTTCAAGGTCAGATGAAATCACAGCAAGTAAATCAAACACGTCAACTTGGACAAAAATCACATCACGTGCTCACCCCTCCATCCCACCCACCCCCCCACAAGCGTACACATAGCTCAAACCTCAAACAGGCTGCTATCATCTGCGGCTACCGAGGTTATTATTTGAATCACTCCCACAGATGCTGTGACTGCCGCCGCTGTTGCTGTTGCTGCCGTCGATACCGTTGGTGCTACTGCCGCTGCTGTCGGTGACCTGCTTATTGCTGTGCGGCGTCAGACCGCCACCGATACCACCACCTGTCGTTGTAGGCCTAACCATGAGCATAAACAGTGACTGGATCTTGTCCACATCTAGCTCCTTGACCACCAGCGCGTTGCACGGCTGCTGGAGAAGCCCGTCCCAGTCCACCACCATCTGGCCACGGGTCAGCTGGCCGCTCAGCTCCACTGTGATGTACACGGGTTCGGCGCTCTGCACCACCGAGCGCTCGATGACCAGAGCCATGGCGTAGCCGTCGCACGAGCGGTAGCCCTCACGGCCGGCCGCGCGGGCTGGTTTGGCCGACTCCAGGACGGATCTCTTCACAAAGTCCGACACTTGGGTCCCGGCGTTGATCCACATGTCGAAAAAGTCCTGAGGACCAAGACAGCAGTTTTGTTTGAGTAAAAAGAAGTATATTCATCTATTGTCCTCCTCTCCCCTTTTTCTTCTTTATGTTCGTTACTCTCTTGTATCACCCCTAATCTTCTGCACATGTTTAACCTAATTGTACTACAAGAGCCTTAAAACTCATACAAAAACAAAAAAGAAGTTAAGTGTATTTGACACAACAACAGTCATTACGTGGCCTAGCTGGACCGAGAGCCGCAAAATACGGCTTGAGTGGCTCGCTATCTATTCCAATCCACTAATGAAAAGACACAAAATTATCGGACCATCCATGTTTTCAAAATAATAGAATAGACCTCTTGTTAGCGGATTCAAAAGAAAATACAGTCGAACCTGCCTTAACGAAAACCTGTATAAAACGGAAACCTGTCTTAACGGAATCTCCCCGCTCCCCCCTTGATATATTCCTCTTTATTTACCTGTATAAAACGGAAACCTGTCCAACGCGGAAACGGAAAGAAAAATCCGCTCCCTTCCGAGGGTTTCACCTGTCTAAGACGGAAAATGCTTTGCATGCAGAACCTTGATTTGAAACAAAACTCGCAAGTTTGGTTCCGCCGGCTCTAAACTTAACGCTACAGCTATGCCGCTGGCCGAGTAAGAGGAGTAGGGGTGCAATTTGGGGGTAGATGTTACCCCATCATGTGAGCCCTGAGCGATGCAGATGGTCAGGGTATTGTGGGTGTGAAATCTCACGACTTCTCGTGAGAGTGCTTGAGTAGCGAGCCACTACGGAAACTTTCTTGGGTAGCTAGAAGCCAGAGGTGTTAAATTAGATTGACCAATGCCTGTCACCCTGATCGTACGACCAGCCGAGAAAAGAGTTCCTTGAATCATTGTTGCTTGATGGCATTGGTGGGTGGGGCTAAGGGTGGAATCAAAGGAGAGATCAAACAGTGGTCCTATGAAAGGCAAGCACTGGTAGTAAATATAAGTAAGACTGACGCATGTCATTATCAGACCCGATAGCAATTGAGAGGTGTGAAGTTTTGACCACTGCTTGCCGATCGGACAAGCGATCCTTGATCCCACCGGCTGGGCCTTTGAACCCCCCCCCCCCTAAATTCCCCTGTCTAAGACGGAATTTTTTCCTTGCTCCCTTGCGATTCCGTCTTACACAGGTTCGACTGTATAGCACTGAGAGGCGATTTTGAGTCATTTCAGCGCTTTTTTTGGGGTCCCCTTTGAAACGTAAAAAGCACTCCCCCCATTTCAGTATATGTCTCATATTTTCACTTCTATATTAGGTACATATACATAACTTTCAGCTTTTCTTTGCATTACTTGAGGCAACATACCTGGGAAGTTTGAATGATGCTGTAGTTGTACTTTTTTAGATATGACCTTTCAAAGCAGGAAAATTGTTGATTTCATATGACATCTTTGATATTGCATAAACATTTTAAGAAACCCCACACTAATATAACTGGAATAAATCTTCAACATTGCATCACCATCTGATAGATTATTTTTTAACCTTCAGTTTGATGAGCCATTTGATATGATTTGTGTGTGTTTAGTTGGATGTTTTGACATTTTCCTTTGGTGGGGTAGGGGTGTAAAAATAGGTCAGGGAAAAGCCCTGGGCCAGTGGTGGATTTTGGCCTGGTAGGAAAAGAGTTAAGAGCGGGGAAAAAGTAAAACAGACAGGCAGAGAGAAACAGCAAAGGGACAGAAGAGAAGTGGGATCTGCAAGTGGCACCCTCCAACCACTCGCCAGGAATGCTGAGGTGGAGGACACACCATTATACTACGTTGAGCATCCAAACACTGAACCAACAATGTCATGTTTACAAGACTATTCTGTTTGCCTAACAATTAGACTACTGACACAATTGTAAAGAGAAGCAAATCAACACAATAACATTCATTTGGTGTACGAAAAAAGCAAGAAAAACAGACAGAAACAACAGAGCGGGAGAAAAGAAGAAGGACCAACCAGTAGCCCCCTCCTTCCAACCACCCGCTGGGCAGACATAATGGAGTAAGAAACATTGACCAACTTTTTACAAGTAATGTCTTGTGTTCTTTTCTTTGAGTAAAGAGAAGCACATCGACGCAATAACGCTCATAATTTAGTGCAGGGAAAAAGCAAGACAGACAGACAGACAAACAGCAGGGGAGGGGTAAAGAAGTAAGACCTACCAGTGGGGCCTTTCAACCACTCACACAGACAGAAACAACAGAGGGAGAGTAAAGAATTAGGATCTACTAGACATTTCCATAACCATTGCACTACTAATGTTCATAGGGACAGACATGTGGGTGGTTGACTGGTACTCTGGTGTGGCTTGTTCCTTCTTTCTTAACTAACGTCTATCATCCTCATGTCTCCTCCTTTTCTAAGTATGCTACTAGCTAGTAACACCTCTTATCTTCAGCATTTATATGACGTAAGGCTTACTAGAACTGAAACTAAAGAAGGACAGACTTACCCATGGCAGAAGGAACTTGCGGCAGACCTCGTAGGGCAGGATGGTGATGTTGATGAACTCTTTGAGCACCACCTGGGCTGCCTCCGGGTCGTTGTAAAAGTTGAACTCGGCACACGTGCTGATTCTGCCCCGAGCTGGTGACAAAATCAATTCCTCCTTTTTCTTTTAAACTATAAAAGCTAGCACTACAAACTGACAACAGGAATTTTTTCCCCAAATCGTAAAAGCTTGCAGAGAGAACTGACAATAGGATTTTTTAAAAAATATATAAATGCTAGCATAAAGAATTGACAATATAATTTTTTATCAAAATTATTACAAAGCTAGATTCTAGTAGAAAGAATTGACAATATATATTTCTTTTCAAAATTATAAAAGTTAGCAGAAAGAATTGACAATTGAAAATAAAAAGCCATGAAAAATAGAAGAAAAAAACATATGAAGCAGCAGCGAGCACCTATCACATCTCTGTGATCGGCCCAAATATTGATGACGTATTTCAATGAGAGAAACATAAAGATCACGGGCACCCTGATCTCTGACCTGTCATCATGGAAACAAGAAAACTGAACGAAGGGGAAAGAATAGCATACCTTCCAATGTCCCCACAGAACAGCTTACCATTGATATCCTCAGAGAATAGGTTACCATCGATGGCCCCATAGAAAAGCTTATCATCGATGTTCCCACAGAAAAGGTTACCTTTAATGTCTCCAAAGAATAGTTTACCTTCAATGTCCCCACAGAATAGCTTGCCTTCAATGTCCCCACAGAATAGTTTACCTTCAATGTCCCCACAGAATAGTTTACCTTCAATGTCCCCACAGAATAGTTTACCTTCAATGTTCCCACAGAATAGTTTACCTTCAATGTCCCCAAAGAATAGTTTACCTTCAATGTCCCCATAGAAAAGCTTACCTTCGATATTGCCCCCCATGATATACAGGTCTTTGATCTTGCGGCCAACCGTGGAGTCTAGCCTCATGGCCAGGGCCAGGTTGGTCAGAGGAGCTAAGGCAACCACAGTCACTTCACCTGTCAACAGAGATAGCCATGGGTCAGTTGACTTGGACAACATGACACACATCGTCACACAATTCTTCTAATACAGTTCTTGACAAAATGGAGGGAAGAAACACAGACTAAGACATGAACTGAGGCCAACCCCTTTAACATTTCAGGAGAAGCTGTATATGTAAAAAGAGGCAGGAAGCAAGATGGCCCAGTATATTATGATGTGATCTAGTTCGAGGAGTAGGAGACGAAGAAGCAATAGACTACAGCAGCTTTAGAACAAAGGGAAGTTTATGTAGTAGTAGTAGTATAGGGTTTTACGGCGCTCCCAACTGCATAAGGTTATATGAGGGCGCGAAACACAAGTTGGTCTTGTTCACAACAGTTCGCTTGGGTCAGTAGTTAAATCTTAAAATGTTTAAAAATCAGTGTAAATATATATATATTTTCGATCTAAAACAATTTTTCTAGTTAACATAAAAATTTTAAATAGTATCAATTTCACTTTACAATTTGCCATAAAGAGCAATGGCCTTTATAAAATTCAAAATTCTGCTGGGAACAACGACGGAAAAAATGTCTTGCAATTTCTTGCATTTATAACATTTCCTTCAGATCTCTCCAAAGTCTAGACATTCGGTTACATTCGATGTGTCTAATGGTAAAATCTGTGTCGCATCTGACACAGAATGGCTTCTCATCTCCCTGTAAGAGGTATTTGTGGATCAGGGTCGTGTGTAGGGAAGTTTATAAGCATTCCTCAAAATACAACTTCCTTAATCAGTCAGGCCAAAACTGCAAGGTCTATCACATCTTGATTTTTATATTACAACAAACAGACCGTAGAACTTTAAAATCAGCTTGTCACAGAATACTCAACTCATTTATTCCTTTTGAAAATGGGATTTTTTTTTCAATGCTTAATATTTGTCATGAAAATCAGTACTTTCCATTAAAACAAACTAATTTGCCTCTTACAAAAAACCAAGAGTGCACATTTCAGTTATCTGTTTGAGTCAAAATGAGCCACAGTTTACCGGGATTGTTGGTAATGATTCTGATCATGGCGTTGGCAGCATGCTCGGGCTGGACCAGACTGCTGTCAACTGGCGTGTTCCATGCCTCCCCGCTGAAGTTCTCAAACTGCGAGGTGTTACCGAGAAGGGAGCACTCCGCCCCTCTATACACAGGAATCTGAAAATGCAAAGATAAAATTTTTAGCTGCACTGAAACTACACTCTAGAAATTTGAAATACAGTAACAGACAGTCATCCATTGTTAAAGAAAGGGTGGTTGTCTTAGACAGGTGGACTTCTCGAAACAATGTAATTACGATGTAGAAAAAACGAAAAAGGGGAAGTGGTCGTTTGCATCTCTGTTAAATATACAGCAATAACAAACTCACATCTTCTCTGTTACACGCCTTGAGCACCCTCAAAGTGTTCTCACACACCAGGTCCACGTTGACGTTGCCGTTGGCACACGTGATGGCCAGGATTTCCACCTTGGGATGCGCCAGGGCCAGCATAATGGCATGGGAGTCGTCGATGCCTGTGTCTACATCAAGGATCACTCGCAACTGTGGAACAAAAGTACAATAGTATCATTTGTCAAATCCATACCCACACTATTTCGTTTAATTTATATTATTATCCGTCTGTCTCTCCCCATCACTCCCCCCCTCCCTGCAATGCCACTCTTGTCTTTTAATCCTGGTTGAAAAAGACCTGTATTTTTTTTAAGAGGGAGGATTAAGCCCTATAAAATAATGCAAACTATTATTATTATTATTAACTGTAAGATGAAAACAAACTGTGCATTTCTTTAAAAAATAAAAAGAATTTTGTTTATATAACATAATTTCACAGCAAAGATAAAAACCTTTGGCTGCTTGAAAGATCCCCCGGAGAATAGCTTTGGTGTGAGGTCAGTGAGGTCAGGGCTGAAGTACTGCGAGGCCCCCGACAGGTTTATCGAGTCTTCGCCACCGGAACCTTCCACGCTGTCCTCGATGTTGATGTCTGCGGCGGCCAGAAGCTCCTCCCCACTCGTATCACTGTGCTGGGACGGAGGAGACGACTGTCGGATAGAAACAAGTTGTGACCTTAGAATGACAGGGTTGTAACTCCATGATGCATAATTTTGAGAAAACGGGATTCAAATATTCACACTTTTACAGCTATAATGTTTTACACCTTATTTGATAAGTGCCAAGTTGGAAAAAACACAGGTCAGATTGTCTCGAGCCTTTAACACAGGGTGCAGGGCATTTGTGTCAGTAATGTGTAGCATGTAACTTAGTTTTTTCAGAAAGGGGGTTTACAACCCTGTTATTCTAACAGCAGATGGGTGGAGGTACAACTGATTCACTGATTGGGTCAGTAATTTTTGTTTGTTTCAGTAAGGTATTACAGCGCTCACAACTGCATAAGGTCATATGAGCGTTGATGGGTGGATGTCAATAGAGAATTCCAAACGGGTAATCAGGCTTACTCTGCTCACCTATCTAGCCTCAACAGTACAAAGTCTGCTTCGACTATCAAGGCACCCAGAAATAGCAGTTCACAAGAGAGTTATAAACATACAAAAGAAGTAAAGGCAAAATGACAATAGTAAGGATAAGGAAAGAAAAAGCAGTAGTTCCAACTATGTTGTTCCAGCACATTGATAAATCTGCCCATTTACAATTCTACTGTGCATACGAACATGTTAATATCCCCCCTTTGGGAATGGCCTCAGTCAATAGCACTGTCCTGGGAGGGGCTTTGGTCAGGAAGGAGAAGACTGATATGAGTTTGAGTGAAGAGAAGGACACATAAATACAATGACCGCCATTTAGTGCTGGAAAAACGCAACATAGAAAAAGGAGAAAGCCTACAATTTATTGTTCCACCCCACCCCATATGGTCCTACATAAGAATAAAAAACAGTATTAGACCAGGCTTATGGGTCTCAAATCATGGCACCTAGTCAGGTAAACACAAAAGTTTGGTGGACATTTAGAGGGTACTGAAAGTTTTGGAAGGATGGAGGGGGGTGGTAGAGTGGTGATTGGGGGGGGGGTTCGTACAATCAAATCACTCCCCCGTAAGCAACACATAAACGTACATCTCTCCTATCCACCTCCATGTCCGTGTACTCAATAGGTCCATGGTTGTGTGTGGGTGTGATGGACACCACCCGCAGTCTCTGGCCGTCCTGGGTGCAGCGAAACTTGACCTGGTAGGGACATCTCTGCCGCATTGAGCGCAGCTCGTCCTTCTTCTCCCGGCCGCCGTACACGCAGCAGTACAGGAGCTCGTTGTACTTGACCTCTGGGTTGAAGACCTGTAAAACAGTTTTCTTCTTAGGTTACTGGCCAACCTACACACTCAGTGGGTTTGGAAATCAAGAGTTATATTTACATTGATGGAAAAAAAGCCTGATTTTTGTTGGTAACAAAAACAGTTGGTAAGTGACAGGAAATACTTGTTGAGTGTCTTTATTTTCCTTGCCTTGGAAACAAAACCAAAAGAAAGCACAAATATGAAAAAGTAAAACAGCATTATAGTCACAACCATTTGAACAAACAGGAAAAACTCTGTTTGAGTCTATTTTATGGGGTGAGTAAAAAATATTGGAAGTTACTCATCTTTCTAGCTTCACAACTATACATACTGAACGTACCCTCTTTGGCATTCGTTTTATTGCAGCACCAATGGTACGGCTGTCTCTTTTCCATAGTTTGAATTTCTCTTTGTCTTGAAGTTCCTGAATTTTCTGTTCAACTTCTTCATAAGAGTTGAACTCATCATCAACATTGATGATTGACATGGTGCTGGTGTAAACAAACACAAAGTTTTCCTGAAATCTGGAGTCCTTGTGTTGCCTCTGTTACATTTTATTCAGAGCAGCAGTAGAGCACAGAATGAATATCTGAAAATGAAAGATAAACTCATTTAGAAAATATCAAATGGATTCGATATCAAATATGTAACTGTCAAGGACTAAGTCTTCTCCTTTTTTCAGTTACAATTAAAAATAAAAAGAACACATTACTACACTTTCACTGTTATTGCAAACTATTTTTTTAAAAAGTTCTTTCTATATTCTTCCCTTCATACTTCAAATTTTAAACAAGAGAGAGAGAGAGAGAGAGAGAGAGAGAGAGAGAGAGAGAGAGAGAGAGAGAGAGAGAGGGAGGGAGGGAGGGAGGGAGGGAGGGAGGGAAGGAGGGAGGGAGGGAGGGAGGGAGGGAGGGAGAGAGAGAGAGAGAGAGAGAGAGAGAGAGAGAGAGAGAGAGAGAGAGAGAGAGAGAGAGAGAGAGAGAGAGAGAGACACACACAAACACACACACATCCTCCTTTCATAAAAACACATATTACATATTACATTTTCAGTCTGGTAATATTGCATTTCTTGAGCTAAATAATGTGGATATAGATTCATTTTAGAGAAGCACATCTTTTAAATTATAATACATTTTTCAGTGTCAGTTGAATTATTTCAACTTCTCAGGCAACTCATCCAAATCAGAAGAATATCAGTACAATGCTTAGGACCTAGCTGATCTGTTTGATCTAATTGAGACACCAATTTATTAAACTGGTCAACACACATGTTGCAGCATTAGGTTTAGGACTTATTTTACTTTTACAGCTAACTTGGGGCTACTGGTTTCATAAAAGACATTAGTATTCGTGCATCACATCAACCTTTTGTTCTGAGAAAAAGTGGCCTATTTTCAAGTCAAGATACATGACAAAATTCAGGATTTGTCATACAGGATATGACTTCACCAAGACATAAAAATCATGGAGATCTGAATGGTATCAAGGCCGATGGGACACCAGCATGATAGCATATTACTGTTGGAGCATTCCTGAAAAGAGAATTTCCAGGCACTATGCACTCAAAACAATCTCGCGAAAGAAAGTTTCTGTCATCAGAAACATATTGTCTCTGACTTACCTACGTAGATGAATCACTTTTAAATGTTGCACCCATTTTGTTTGTAAAATTGAGAATTTACAAGACGTATGGCTTGATGTCACACATTTTTGCTTTTTCTTGCTCTCCTGAACAAGGCTGATATTTCATAAAGGCTAGTTCAATTGCATGCCCTGCAAAAACCGCGGTACTGCCATATAGAAAAATCTTGATTTGATATAGCTACAAAACTTGTGTCTTTTGTGGATTCGGCGACCTTGAATTGCAAAAAAAAAAAAAAAAAAAAGCTACATTCTGTTGTCCTGGCCCAGTGCTATAAAAAGGAACAGCCCTTAAACAGGCATAGAGCTATATTTTGGGTAAATTTGAACTTTTACTCTCCTGCACACAGATGCACTACTTTAGGGGGTCAGATGGTCGTAATTTTGGCTGCAGATCATACATATGTGAGGCAGCACGTTGACATGAGGCGGTCGTTAACATACAGAAATCTGAGAAACAGGCATTTTTCCGCCAGTTAGAAAATTTTAATCTATTTTTTTTTGGCTCTTTTAAGTACATATAAGCCTCCCAAAGCTTAACCCAGGTCCACGTCCCGGGAGGTGAAAACTAGACAAAGTAGGGGATTGCTGGGTTCAACGAAGTACCGTGTGGCTTTATGCCAGTCGTGAAAAAGAACCCAGGACACCCCGAAAAGTTGCAGGCTAACAGGGCTCTGGTGAAACTGCGACAGGCCTAGCAAGTCAGCAGCGGATTATTTATTACTAAAAAACTAATGGAAGAAAGAAACGTACTGATATAGACGGAAAACAACTTGGAAACGTTAGAGGATTAAGAGAAAGGATTTGCACTCTAAACATCTGTGACCTGAAACAAAAACAAGAACTTATTACTTTTATGAAAAGGTAGAAAATACCAATACTTGGACAGTCTGATTGACGTGTAGAAGGCAGCGGGACCAAGAAAATACATGAAAATTACATACTAATATGGAGTGGTGTAGATATGAGAGAGAAAGCAATTTATGGTGTGGGATCCATAATACAACCTGACACGATAGAAAGAGTTATAGAAAAAGAATTAATATTAGAAAGGATCTTGAAAAATCAGAACACAGAAAGCCCAAAAAAGGGAAACTATTCTATCATCCAAATTAATTCCCCATGTAACAACAAATACTCAAGGGAAGATAAAGAAAACTTTTTTCAGAAGTAGGCAGACACCATAGACAGCGTACCTGATGAGGAGGAACTAATCATAAAGGGAGACTTCAATGGACATGTAGGCCCAAGAAGGACACCATGGGAAAACTACCTTGGACAACACAGTGACATCAGTCTAGATTGTAACTATAATGGGGGAACCTCTATTAGCTCTCTGTGCAGAGTATGAATTAGGTTGGCCCCAGAGCGGATCTGTAGCACGCCAAGCGCACGCCGTCTGCGTGTCAGCAGAGCTGCACTGTACGTTGGCTTCTGTGTCTAAGTGAGCGCCCTCTGCGTGTCAGCACAGCTGAACTAGGCTAGAAGCACACAAGCCTACGAATGTAAACAAACAGTCGAAACTAGGTACCTCTTGATTCGAAATTTTAATATAGGATAAAGTGCATTTCTTGGGATTTTGTGGTCCAGTGTTGATGCTAGCATCAATATCTAACAGAAAAGCACCTAATAATACATACTTCTCACTGATTTTGATGATCTGTGAAGAATTTCAGTCGAAAATAAACACGAAGCGAGGCTGTGACACATGTCTGATGTGTTTTACAACACTGTTGAATAGCACGTCTGACGCGTCGCGAAGCTCAGCGGACAACAGACCATACAGCGACGCTGCTCAGGCACACAATGTATACGTTCATTAGCACGGTGCAAGCTAAGCCAGCTACAGGTCAGACCTACAGAGCCACTCTGGGACCGGCCTTATACATCACAAATACCTTTAACAAGCACAGGGCCAGTCAAACTCAGTCGTGGTACAAACGGAACAGCCTAAAAATTTCCTCACAGATTGACTTTATACTGAGACGAATCGCCCACAGAACAAAAACAACTGAGGCAAGATCAATCCCAAACATCACCTTTGATACAGATCACCGACCAGTGATGATGATGCGTAAAAAGAAAAAAAAACCCACGAGAAAACAGAAAAAGAAACATTCAGAGAAAATTAATTTACGAAAACTCAATGAAGAGGGCAATGTGCAGAAAGTGGAGGACGAGATCGCAAAGAGACTAAAAAACCAAGTCACCAGTGCAATGAACATTGAAGAGACATGGACTCTCTTCAAAAACTTTCTCACAGAAACAGAGATAAAAGTATGTGGAAAGAAAAGAATTAAGAGAGGATGCATTAAAGGAACACCAAGGTGGAATGACAGCGTCAAAGACACCATCAAAGAAAAGAAGAAACTTTTTCAGAAATGGATAAAATCCAAAGACGAAAACGACTACACACAATACAGACTAGCAACAAGGAACTGCAAAAGAGTTGTTAGAGCATCAAAAAATGAATCATGGGTAAAATATGGAGAACACCTTAACGAACTGTGCCACAAATCACAACGAGACTTTTTTAAAAGTGTAAAGTCAATGAATCTAAGAGAAGAACCGTACAACCCAACAGCTATAATTAATGACAAAACAGGAAACCCCATTATTGACAGCTCCAAAATCAAATCTAGACGGAGGGAATATTTCTCAGAATTTTTGAACACCACTCAAAAGCAAACAAACAAAGAATTCCAACCAAGTCACCCAGAGGAAGAAAAACCAACCATCCTACCATCAGAGGTCAGACAAGCGGTTAAAACCAGCCCAAAAAATAAAAGCACAGGAATAGATGAGCTAACCACGGAGACCATCCTAGCATGTGGTGAAACAGGAATAACTTGGCTCACAAAAACCTTTCAGGAAAGCATGGACAGAAAGAAAAGTTTCCAGCGACTGGCAAAAAGCGGTCATAGTACCAATCTGGAAGAAGAAAGGCAGTAAGAGAGACTATGGAATGTATAGAGGCATTTCACTGCTAAGCCATGTGGGCAAGATGTTCGCCAAAATATTGGAAGGGCGAACAAAACACAAAGTTGAACCATTTCTGAATGAGGCCCAAATGGGATTTAGAAGAGGAAGAGGATGCACCGTCGCAATATTTGCCCTGCGACAAATGTGCGAAAGGGTAATAGAACACAACAGGGAACTAAACATAGTTAGTATTTGTCGACCAAGAGAAATGGTGAGAACAAATGATGTCATGCATCACATCCAACACTAAAGAATCAAATGGTTGGGACATCTCATGCAATTACCTACACACCATCCAGTACAACGTGCCTACATAAATTTTTTTTATTGGCAACAAGGTTAGAGGGCGACCGAGAAAGACCTGGATAGATGGAGTCAGGGAAACACTAACAACTCATGGCATCCCCCTGACCCAAGCTCTCTGGCTGGTGGTAGAGAGATGTCTCTTTCTTCCCGCGACACCCACAAGGGTATAAACGGAGGATAAAAAGAAAAGAAAAAGTCCATATATAAAAACACATTTCCGTGTGAATCTTACTGAAAAACAATGATTAAAGGCACAGAATATGCCATTTTTCATATTTTTTCAAGGACTCTTTAGCAGTTTGGAATGACTTCGGTGGCCATTTTCTTGCTAATTTCACCACTGAAACAAGATGACCTCAATTCCTTCTATTGCAAATATCTTGAGTTCTATTCAAGATAGCAGATGGACATTTATTTCATTGGAAGCAAGGCAAATAAATCAGTTTTCAGTTGATACCAATAATTCCACACGCCCAAAAATTGACATGCCGCTGGTTCCAGTGCACAGTGACACATACACTACCACTAAATCTGTCGCAAATAATTTTTTAAACGAAAATTTAAACCTAATTGCAGAATATTAAATTATGTGGTAAAACAGGGAAGGGGCATGCCCCCTGTTGACCCCAGCCAAGACTTTTTAACCACAAGGGTGCATGCCCCCCCCCCCCTCCCGGATAGGCACAAAGCGTGAAAATTGCTACACAATTAGGCTTTGCGTGTATATAGTTTGAAGAAATCATCAATATTTTAAAAACTTCTAGCGATGAATATAGTATAGTCTTGAATATGTATATATATCTTGTAAATTGGATACAATTGAACAAAGAATGTGAAATAAAATACCTTAGCATGAGACAGGACTGAAAGTAAAATTATAAGGTAACCGGTCATTTCGTCACATCCCAATTATGTGGGACGAGATGACTTCGCTTAGTATATAATCATCATTGTCAACGTCTTCTTCCCATCTCATCTCTGACAGGGCACTGTCTCCTTCTTCTTAATACTTCCTCGGTGGTGATCCTGTCTGTCCATCTGATCCTCCATAGCTTCTTCAGACACTTGTTCAAGAAAACCTGAATCCTCTTTATGCACGTCTGAGATGATCAGAGACGCATTCCATGTCTCACATCCATACAACAGGACTGACTTCACATTTGAGTAGAAACTCCTCAGCTTTGTTCGTAGTGAGATATCCCTGGTCCTCCAAATATTATCTCTCTCCAAAATTGTTATGCTGGTAGTAGAGTTTTGGGGGATCAGCCAAAAGCTTATCTTGAAGTTATATATATATATATAAATCATCAATGTAAATTAAATCTTTGTCCAAACTAAACTGTTCTATAGTTGAACAATAGTTTAAATAAGGCAAAATCAATGTCTGGTAAAGAGTTAATAAAGCTTTGTTTGAAAGTAAGGGTCTAGCTTTTAGTAAAATTGCAGTATAGCACATTTCCATAGCTAATTTATTTTTAACAGAACTTGATCTAATAGGATCTTGCCAATCACACCTTTCATCAATAATAATACCAGAAAACTTTGTTGATCTGACTCGACAGAATTGTCAATATACAGTCGAACCTGTGTAAGATGGAATTGCAAGGGAGCCAGAAAAAAATTCTGTCTTAGGCAGGGGAATTTAGGGGGAGATGGAGGGGGATTTCAAAGGCCCAGCTGGTGGGATCAAGGATCGCTTGTCCGATCGGCAAGCAGTGGCCAAAACTTCACACCTCTCAACTGCTATTCTCTCTGATAATGACATGCGTCAGTCTTACTTATCCAATTACCACCATTGCTTGCCTTTCATAGGACCACTGTTTGACCTATTAAAAACAGAAACGTTTGAACATCTCCTTTGCTGTAACAAGCACAGTCAACCAATGCCACCCCTCACTGTCATCATGTAACAACGATTCGAGGAACTCTTTTCTCGGCTGGCCGTACGATCAGGGTGGCAGGCATTGGTCAATATAATTTCACACCTCTGGCTTCTGGCTAACCAGGAAAGTTTCCGTAGTGGCTCGCAACTCGATCACTCTCACAGAAAGTCGTGAGATTTCACACACTACCCAGACCATCTGCATTGCTCAGGGCTCACATGATGGGGTAAGATCTACCCCCAAATTGCACCCCTACTCCTCTTCCTCGCCCAGCGGCATGGCCATAACGTTAAGTTTAGAGCCGGCGGAACCAAGCTTGCGAGTTTAGTTTCAAATGATCACGGTTGAACGGGCAAAGCATTTTCCGTCTTAGACAGGTGAAACCCTCGGAAGGGAGTGGATTTTTCTTTCCGTTTCCGCGTTGAACAGGTTTCCGTTTTTTCAGCTAATTAAAGTGGAATATATCAAGGGGGGAGCGGAGAGATTCCGTTAAGACAGGTTTCCGTTTAAGGCAGTTTTGACGGTATTTAAGAAAGGCTGTAGCTGATCAGGTAGGCACGATGTCAAGCAGAGCCTCCCCCTCCTTCCACACACACCCCGGCCCTCCCTCTAAAATCTTGATTTGCGATTGCAAAGACAATGCGTGTTTGATGTTTGCATCATGTGTGCTACGAAATGATTGTCTCTCAACATTCAACCTTGTGGATTTGGGGTGAGATGAGATGACTGTGACGTCTTGACTGCACCGGTGTGACGACATGACCGTGTGACGAAATGACTGGTATTCAATTATAATAATACATTTTGAAACTGATCTTGCTTGAAATTGACTGTTAGAAACTGAACGGAAGTGAGATTTCATATTATATTTATTATGCTGCACTATTTCAATATTATAGAGCGAGGTAACCTGGCCAATATAATATTTGAAAATTGAAGTTGAGACCAGTTGAGAAGAAAAAGTGTCCACATGACAATACTACAGGCCTGACCATGTTTAAGACACTTAGAAAATATAGAAAGAAATATTGGCCTCCTAGGCCTTTGGCAGAGATCACGCTCAAAACTCCATGGGAGCCTGGAGAGCTTTCGCACTAGACTGAGATCATGTCTCTTTAGAGATGAACGAGAGAAAGAGGAAGAAGAAAAAGACCTGACAGTGATAAACTCAGTGGAAGTTGAAATTTGAGTGAGCACAGAATCTGTCCAGAAGGACAACATACAGTACAGACTATCTCCTGCACTCTGTGAGTAGACTCTAGTAGTATAGTCTGAAAGTCAACACAAGTTTCACTTTAAAATAGAATAACAATCGAATGATTATATTTTTGATTGACATTGTTGCTTAGGAAGGACACCCAAAATTAATGAATATACCAAAGCACTCATTTTGAGTGCTGCCTGCTCATTCTAGAACTTCTAGGGGTATCTCTACTCTAGACTAGCAGAACAGAACAAAAGCATCATCCATCGCATGGGAAATGGGAGGGGGCGGGGTCCTCACTATAGTTACACTTACTTGCAAATCAAATTATACTTCAGACTCATAAGGATGTAACTTAATAAGGAGTTTCCCTAGTCCAAATCTTAATCATGATATCTTTTCACGATCACTCTATACTCTACAAAATGCAAGAATACGAGTTTCAGTTTCTGCATCTCATGTTCATCGTGTCATCGTTCTATTTCTACTCTGTCTATTCTTGATCAAATAAACTCTTAATATTATCCTATCTGTGACGAAAGATAAAAAAACAGTTAGTGCATGCATTACTGACCCAAATTATTTATCTCCTTTTTGTAGTGTCAATGCAAAAGCATGTAGAGTTGGCAAAAGTTTTCTAATAACTTGGTCACTTGCAACGAGTATTTTACTATAGTTTTCCTCTCTTCGACGAAGTGTGCCGGAAATACAGAGCCGGCACCGGCCAAAATTCCGGCTTCCGGTCTCACTGTGATATACATGAAAATGTAAAACTTTCTTCTTGCAATAGCTTTCCCAACATTTCTGGAGGCGACAATCGAATTATTTTTATTTCCATTGAAATGGACAGAGCAAATTTGCTTTCTTGGGGTAAAATCTGAATCTGGGCCTAAACACCACCCACGTGGAAAATAATCATTATTTCCATATTTATTCTTATCCACCTTTGAAAATATACACGGAGGAAAGTCCGTTATTGAAACGGTCTGCGAGTTCTGGGAAACACCAAATGTCCCGCAACTCATTGTTGGATACAGTCAGAGGCCTTGCTATGTACGTAAACGAGACAGTAGCATACAGTTTGCAGCGCAGTCTGTGACAACCAGAGCTTCACGCAGCATAAGCAAAGAAAACTGTTCTACTTATAGCCTGGGGCGGCAAACATACTCGCGTTAGGCCTGTTATTGTTCTAATGTCGGTGAGCGCACGAAACCAAGTTGTTATATAGTAGTGTACTCTGAGGTTTCGAATAACAGGGGGGGGGGGTAATAAAAGGGGCACATTTACCGGATACTGATATAAGGGGGGGGGGGGACTTCCGTAACGAGCAACCACCCCAACAAACACAATAAAGAAGGGATCGACCTAGTCGATCTAACCCTAACCCTAACCCAAACCCTACCCCTAGATCTATCCCATACGCCTAGCCCTCTATATACTTCTGCCTTATAGTGGTCGCTCTTTACGGAAGTCCTCCCCCCAAAAAGGGGTTGGGGGGGGCAGCACTTTTGCCGATTAGTAATAGCATACAGTTCACATATTATAGATCTATATACATCTTTTCTTTTTTTTCTTTCTCTTTTTTTTGGGGGGGGGGGGGGGTGAAAGGGGAGGCCTATTTGTACCTACTTATTTTTTACACATGCTTATTGACATTTTTACGATCAGTTTATTTTTTTCTTTCATTCAAGATGCCTTAACTTAGTGAAGCTAACCACAGGTTTTGCCTCTGATCAAGGTGAAAAATGTGCCCAGAAGCTACAAGACAGCTAAAATGCAGTGCATGTATTGTTTCTCAACTTTTGAAATATTTAAGCACACTTGCAATGTCTAGAATAGACAAAGAATAGGACAGTCTCGAGTGACCAGCCATGCTCAACGACAGACAGATTTTGTTGTCACATCTGTGGAATCGTTTCCATCAACGATCAAAAGTGTTGTTAACAATGAACTTTAAGAAAAGCCAACAGAAACAAAACGTGTGTCATTTAAAAGAGACCACGAAGGTGTAGATCAATCACACCTTTCATCAATAATAATACCTGAAAACTTTGCTGATCTGACTAGATAGATTTCAATATTGTCAATACATATTTATGAAAGGTGTAGCTGATCAGGTTGGCACGATGTCACGCACAGCCGCCCCCCCCCCCCTTACCTCCTTCCACACACAGACCCGGCGCTCCCTTTCAGCTTGTAACACGTAACTCAAGTCTGTTGAGTGTTGAGTTAAATAACCACACACTTAACAGAACTCTGTTGAAAGGATCGACACACGTGTAGACCAAAAGCAAAAAAACCTAGGGTTAGGACAATATTACAATTACGACAAGGAAGGTTGTACACAGGTCCTTTTTTGTGGGATGGATCTAGTTGGGTCAAACCACGGACCCTACAACAACCTTACTGTATAACTTCCTTGGGTTCAAACAACCCATTGACAAAATAAATGACTACACAATGAGCTTTGCGATTTGCGAACAGGATAAAAAACGGAACCATAGCCAAACCAAAATGGTTGCTTAGGAAGCGGGTGGTTTGACTGTGTTCATAAACACAACTAACAAAAGAGCAAAAGAGACGGCATCGCCTTTCCTGTCGACCAGATAACAATTTGAATGTTTAACTTGACCTGACTTGAACATTGTAAGAGAAATTTGTTACAAGAACTCGCCAAGATAACGCATTGAATCTAGTCAGTGATGTAGTAGTATACTATATCTAGAATCCCTATATATAGATATAGATCTAGAATCTAGATCTATTTAGGTACTGTGGTACTGTGGTAGGCCGATGATACTGTAATTCTGTAACATTCTATGATTCTTTTTAAGCGGGCGCTATTTGCAACCCCGCGTTCTGAATAGCTCCCCGGTGCTATTTTTTGTAACGCCGCGTTCTGAATGGCTCCCATGCTATTTGAAACGCCAGTACTAGAGTCTAGATTCTAGATCAGTCCTGCCTAAGAGGGCCACCGTGTACCTGTCTTATATGGCCACTTTTCTCCTTGACAATAAGATAATGGCGGGTGGCCGTCTTACCCGGGTTCAACTTTATACAGCTATGAAGAAAAGTTGTTTATTCTAACATTATGTGTTGTGGATAAATATCATTAAGTTAAGACAAATTGATACAAACTGCTGTGCAAGAAAGTATGGGTGATTTATTCACCCGTTATACATTTTTGAAGATAAGGTGGACCACGAATTTTTGACCACACTATAAATCATTTCATTGAAATATATATGGCACAGACACCCCAGCACTTCAATACAAAAAGAAGCGCAGTTCATACTTTGCTGAATATTTTGGGTTTTTTTAGAAAATGGTGTGATGTTCAGTGAGAGTTTGCAAAAATCTCGTTTTTTTCCGTATTCTTAAGGGCTGGTGGGGCACCTAGAAATCATGTTTTGGGGTCAAATTTTGCGAATTGGGGTTATTACATAGTACCTAGACATTTCCTGCACAATGTCCAGAATGAGAAACGTATGTAAGCCTTGCTACCCCCTAACGCTGTGTTTTTTCCCCAGGTTTTTCTGCGAAAGCACATGTTTTCCAGCCTTTTCTTACCTTTATGGGCTGTTTTCTCACAATTTTCTTTTTTGTCACACAGAATTATCCCTTTTTTCTGCTCTGTTTCTTGTTTTTAAATTTCAAAGTAACTTTCACTCGATACCAACAACACATAGAATCTAGTTCTAAATTTTGGCTTACCTTGTTGAATTTTTAATTAATGGAGTGGTTTTTGATTTATGGGCTTAGAAAGCATGAATTTTCCTTTTTTTTCTCACTTTTTTAGCTACATCCCAGTTGTAAGTGTCATAAAATAAAAACTAAAGTATATATAAAAAATTCACAAACCAAATTTAAGAGCTACATATTTACTGTTGGCATGCCAAATTAGAAGTGGATTCACTGTGATTCAGTTATTAAATTAGGGATTAAAATGGGATTGAAAAAAGCATACAAAATCCAATATGGATGCCATTTCCACAGCAACTGATTCACAATATACTTTTTAAACTATTGATTTACAATCCCCAATAGCACCCGATGTCTCACATCAAATGTGGGCACTCTAGGCCTCGTAATAGCCAAAATAGACCTCAGGTGCCCCACCAGCCTTTAAACTTTATAGAGAGAAGGAAAAAGCATTTTAAAAGTTAAAGAACAACAGGTTAAAAAGTCTGATTTTTATTAGTTTAGGGCTTGTTAAGTCAACAACTGAAACAAACCTGATCATAGCGTTTGGACTTATACAAATTTTTTGTCATCATTCAAAATGGCTACCAACTCTCTGTGACTTCTTGATAGTTTAATTAGCTGAGATGTGATGGATCATCCTGTCTTTACATGGAAAATACATTTGCAAAGATTTTTCTGAAGGTCATGAATTTTGGTCCTATTGGTGCCCCCTTCTTAATAAAAACAACTAAAGCCTAGAGCTGTGTTGATGTGCAGTGCCATCTTAAAAAGTAAAATCTTCTTGTTACAGGTAAGTAGTTTAGGAATCCACTCAAAATTGTCCAAGTCAGTCATGTACTGTCAAGGAAGAAAGTGGTTACAAGTCTTAGACAGGTGGATATAATCTTGGACAGTTATAATAAAAGAATACAAGTGATTGTCTTGGACTGATAGCCAAAGCAGGTTCGACTGTATGTAGAGTAGTTAGTTATTTGTATGTGATGATGATTATCTTTGGACTACCATTTTAGTATCTCTTATTTTTTTAAAAGATAAATGAGATTAGTCTCTTTAAATTATCCCTCCATCTCTTTTAACGAATGTTTGCATTTTAAATTAGAAAAATGTCAGTTATATATTTATATATAATGTACCATTCTTGTATGTCAAGGGTTTAATATGTATATATTCATTCAGCAGAGTTTCAAGTGAATGCGAATGAAAATTAGGTCAATACTTAAGACTATTTCATTTATTCCTCTAGAACTTTGACTTCAACCTGCTTTATCCTGTGGCTTCAAAATGCTGACTACAGCGAACCAGAAACTGATGATGGGACTAGACCCTATGTTTCGGTCTTGTCTGAAGCTGCAGATCAAAGACGTTATGGCTCTCAAGTCAGCTGGCTTTGATGATTTTCCTGGTGAGATTGCTATTCTGTCTTTTAAAAAAATTTATTTTGTAAGTGTTTTACGGCTTTTGCAACTGCATAAGGTCATATGAGCGCGTGGTACACACCAAACATTTATAGTTGGTAGGAAATTTTGAATTTTGCCCCAACGGGGGCCGAAGCTTGCTCTTTTCGATTTTGAACCACCAAGGGATCTTTAACATGTGCAACTTGCACACTGACCTCAGAGATTTTCGCCCTTGTCCGAGTAGGCTAGGTGTAGATCTTTCCTACCAGAAGATCAGGGGTGTATCTGAAAGACAGCAGTTGGAAGGAGCCAAGGAGAAGCAGTGGAAAGGCTGCAGAAAGAGTCAGGAGCCCAGAGGAGGGGGCAAAAAAGGATGTGAGGGGGTGGGGGCAGAAAATGGAGACGAAAGCAGACGACAGAATATTGCTAGAGAGCAGGAAAGGAGGGGAAAGGAGACAATTTTAGAGAAGAATTTTTTCTATTGCAACCCGGATTCGTACCCGGGACCTTTGAATGAGAGACGAACACCTTAACCTCAAGGCCACAAGAGCCCCCGTTCTGTCTTTGAGTAGAAGAAATAACATCATTAATTTTTTATATGCATGTATATAAATCAAAACATAATCTTTTAATGGTATCGTCATTAAATGCCAGATCTGGGACAGACATCGTTGATCATGTTTCTCCTTTCATTCCTTTGCTCAGAGTCTCTCATAAAAGCAACATTATCCTGATTTTTTTTTCTAGCCTTGAAAAGTACTCACTTGTTT